CCGCGCCCCACCGGTCGCTCAAGCTGGGTTTGCTTGCCTAGCACCAACCGCAACACGAGAGAAGGCTTAGGCTAAGCTCACTCGCTGTGAGTCTCACTCGTCCTCGCCAGATCTTGCAAGTGTGCCCGGCCCAGCCAAGAAAAATAGGCTCAGCGCTCAACATCTTGAGGCCACGGAAGCAAAGCTTCCTCAAAGGGGTCACCAGAGGTTCCCCCCACGGGCGCTGCCAAGATGAGGTTCACACGAGCCGTCCCCGGGTCCTTAGACAAGCCCTCCTACACAGCCAACCGCGAAGCCCCACCCCCACAATCCCCAAGCATGCAGTGGAGAGAGGAATAGACCTCCACACAGGGCCAGCAAAACTGCCTTTCGTGCCGCATGCTCAGAGACCGCAGGCTAACTCAAGTATTGTTGAAGGGCCAAGCAAGCAAACCCAGCCATCGCTTCCGCCAAAAAGCGAGCAAAAACGTGCTTCAGCATCTTCAGCTTTGGAATCTCAAGGGTTTGGTCTTTGTTTCCCTTTTGTAACCGCAGTATTTCAAAGGCAGTCTCACACCAATGAGAAAGGGACAGTGAGAGACAGGAGCTGTGGCACATGATGACAAATCAACTCAACTGATTTGTCGCCGAAACAAAATTCAATCCTCTGCTGCTATGGCATCGATTTAAGATAGTGATGCTAGATGATGCTAGCCTAAGGTAATGACTCTTGGCCATGCCACTGTCTGAATGGCCTGCAACTAAGCATAGCCCAATGACTGACTATGGCAAGAATCAGGCCGGAACTCCACCACATGAAAAATCACCTGGTTAAAGATTCTTTCACATCCTATCCTCACCCACACATTGAATACCAAAACTTGATTGATGGTTGAAGAGTTGAATATGAATGTTGTTGAACTGGACTCTTAAACTCTTCCATCCTTGCAATGGATGGCTCCTCGCTTTTTCAGTAATTTGATTTTGAAAGCATGTATTGTGAACCATCAACTCACGAGGCGTGTTCAAGGGTCTGCAAGGAGCAGTCCTTCAGCAGCAAAAGTGCTGCATCCTCCATGGAACTGGCTCTAGTAAAATCACAGAATGCATTCAGTGCACACTGCATCGTCTTGCGTCAAATCAGTACAACATTAGCTATAAGAACCAATAAGCATAAGCAAACTGAATCAGAATGGAGAGAACATGGGTCGCAGAAACCGAAGAAGATGCGCATATTGTCCCAAGCATTCCCAAGCCAACTACCTGGACCCGTCTTCCGGAGTCTTCCTAAGCCTTCCGTGTTTTCGATCTACTGCTCATCTCCGATCTTGCACTGCACGTTCCACTACACATCCAAGTGATGCAAGCGAGGTCCAAGAAATACATGGCAGCATTATCTACAGAAATGAGTGCTAAAAAGTGGGAATGGTTTCAGCGCAGTGTGGTGAACTTGGAAATCGGCTGGCAATGACACCTCAAGAAAAAACATCTCTGCAGAATCTGCCTTTATACAACCCACGTCCGCCATCATTTTATAGAGGACATATTTAGGACGATGCCATTTTGGGAACATGCCCCATCTGCAAAGACGCGCAAAGTGGGCATCAACAATTACAAACCAATACCAACAAACATCTATCACTTCATCCGTGATTGGCTCCATGGTCTTGGCCCCCGTGCCATGGCGCTTTTGGCAGCACATTCAAAGGCCCGGCCCCGAACTTTTTTTTGGGGGGATGTTGGAATGTTGTGGAGTTGAGATGACATTCAAGAAAAATCTTCCCTTAAGCTGAACTTCTGCTGCCCCTTGGGATTCGCTTACTTGATAAACCCAATCGCTTGCGGTTTGCAGTGGGAGTCGCACTATGTTTGATTGAGCCAATTGGCAAATGTGAAGGCTCGTTTCTAGTTCAGCCAACCTTCAGCGAGGATACAGTAAGGTCTGTATGGAATATTTTGGCCCTTCAGAAACTGCCAGCAACTCGCTCGACCTTCCAGGGCCACCTTACTTTTTGTCGAGTCCAGACCCAGCGCTTGCCGCACACAGCCTGATCTGAAAAATCTTGGCGCTTGGAGACAGTCGCCGCCAAAATGACTTGCCTTCTGCTTCACATCGAGGACATCTGCATTTGAAGAACCAGTGGCTCAACCTTAGCAGGCGGGGGTGTTTTTGCAAGCATGTTCAAGCAATGGCAACAGCTGTTGCTGAGGATGCTGAGGTACTGGCTGCTGTTGCCTTTCTTCGAGTGGCCTTGGCATTTGCAAAGAATGCATCCCAACTGTGGTATTGGTAGGCATCAATGCCAGACCAAGTTAGGAACCAATCTGGCGTGACGTATGCCAAAGTTAAGCGATCTCCAACCTGCTTGTGTCGGTGCTTCTTTCCGCAGCGTCACTATTGCAATCCACCAGGGCCAGAATTTGCCAAACTTCAAATGCACTGAACTTAATTGCCCATGAAGCTCTGGCCTCAAGGGGCATTGTGGTGATCAAACTCACCTGGCATTCCGCAGCACTTGTTGCATACATGTATCTTGCATGCACCACAAAGACTGTTCAGTGTCTTTTAGTGCTTGCAAGCGCTACAGGAAAGCGCGAAACTCATGCCTAAGTCACGCCTGTGTGCTGAAAATATGCTTTCCCCCATCTAAATGCAATTTCCAGGAAGTCATGCCTATGTCATGCCCGCAACCCAAATCACCATCTAAATGCAGCGGAAACCTTTGCTTCATTTTGATTAACTGATACCAGTAGTACCACACAAGGCGGTGGCGGAAGTTTCAAAAATAGTAGCCTGTAGGAGTTGGGTTTTTGAAATGCATGGGCGGCAGAGCAAGCCGCTGATGGATCGTTCTTGATAATGGTTTGTTGTGAAATGAATAGTGAATCTGAAAGTGAAGTGTGAGATAAGGGATATGATATATACTGGAAAAAAAAACGACGTCAGAACGACGTCCGAACGACGTCCAAGCGACGTCAACTCATTCCCTAGGAAAGGCCACTCCCCACATGATGGCTGAACAACATGAGACTCCTAGTACGTTTCAGTAATACAAAGGAAGAAATGGCTACTCAAAACACCAACTGGATGAAACGACCAAGTCTGAAGTAATCAAGTGCTCCGAAGCTATTTTCAACGATTCCCACTAATCTAGGCACGACTTTAGCAACTCTCTGTAAGGCTGCTACGGGCAATGGATGTTGCTTATCAGAAACGTGACAAACAAAATTTGTGCCAGGTCTAGAGACAGTCAGCTCTTCCTAAACGAATCTGAGAATGTGAAGCGCAGCTGTCTTGGAAATAATTCATACATTTCATACCTGTCTTTGCTTCGGCCTCTGCTCCAGAATCTGCAGACGTGTCCAAACGGACCGAAGGGGCACACGAGTGGTTCATTGTGCTCAGCAAAACATAGACCTGAATGTGAGCTGCGCACGGAGCAATGGCGATTTTTAAAAAATACAAAGCCATCTCCAAACAAACCATTGCTCCATTGCTTGTGTGCGTCCTTAGGCCGCCCTACGCCAGCACTTTGCAGTGGCAGCCCCTGTCGAACTTCTGGTACCTGCACTCAGCATTCGGAGTTTGAAGCGCGGAAGCTCTGAGTCATAGAATTGTATGGGCATGCATCATTTCAACTAACTAAGCAAGACATTGGAAAGTAACGACACAAATTCGAGCGGTGTTTACAGTGGCTAGTCTTCTCTGAACAGCTCCATAATTGGGATATGAATCTTCTAGTACTGCGTCCTATTGGCAGAGAATGGAAGATACAATGCTGTTGTTGCAGTTTTGCAGAAGGTGGCCACGGCGATGTTTTTAGCTGCCTTCCGATGAGGATAAGGATGAGGATAAGGATGAAGCTGCTGTAGGTGGTGGTGATGATGATGGTAGGGGGATGATAGCAGGGCTCATGATGAAAATTATACTGATAGCGAAAAGCGGCAAAAGTGCTAGCGCAGGCCTAGCACACTAGCTCCCAGGCGCGAAATTGCATTGTTAGGTAGGTGGGGTCCTGCTACATGGCAAAAAGAAACACCCACCGCGCATTTTTCATGTCTTGTCTTTCGAAAGGTTTTTGGTCAGGCCCGGGTAAAAGTTCCGAATAATTGGAAGATTTCCATTGAAGCTTATGCTGCATGATCGTGTAAACATGTGTAAACCACATGTGCTGTATGACGCGCAAAAATTATGTCCAGCCCAGCCTCTGGGGTGGATTTATTTTAAGCTTTCAAGTGGCGGTTGGTCATGACCTCCCCGAAAAGGTCCTGAAACAAGGCTGTTGCAGCACAAAGGACTAGTGTGCAAACGGGTGTAGTACAATCTGAAAGGCTGCCACAAGAATGTAGCAAGAGACTTGTGGTGGCACAGGAATGTGCTGAACATTTGATTGAACGCGATCTATTTGCAAGAAAGAGTAACGAAAAACACTGCAATGAGATGGGTCTTGGATAAATCAACTGTGAAATGGTGTTGAACGAAGTGTGGCGAAAGAAGTCTTATTGTCGCGCCAGGCATGCCGCGTAACAAAGAAAATGATAGAAAGAGTCTCGGCAGAACAAATCAGTTTCACAAGGCCGGAATACTGTGAGAACTGCAATCAACGGGGAAGTGTTGAAAACTCTTGCTGATTGGAATTTGTGAAAGAAATTGTAGCGGCATGGTGCGGGACGCCGTGTCAAGGAAGGAAGGAGGGAGAAGCTTTAGACCAAGAGGTTCATCACAAGATTGAGTGGATCTAGGGGGTACTAATCCCGCGGGCTTCAGTGATTGGAGGTAGACCCTGCCACACGTTCGAAAGCACATGGAACTTCAAGTAGCCCAGGCTAGTGTACCTTTTGTGCAATCGAAAAGGTTGACATGTTCCTCCCGGCTAGCCAGCACCATAAAAGACAGGTGTTCCAGTTGTTCCGGATGTCCCCCAAGCACACGCTGAAGCTGGCAGCATTCAGCACCAATTTCCCGGCAAGCTGTGCAATGGTCTCCTGGGCAGCGTTGGATCATCGCCAGAATGAATGGAGTACTGCCAGTGCTCTGAAACTTCTCAGTGCGGGATTCCCTCAGCAAACGAAATGAGCTGCCAGAAACACACCTTTTTGTGGGCCTTCGCCATCGCTGCAGCCAACCTCAACGCACAGGAATGCATGTTGCATGTTCTGGTTCACCTTGTTCTTGTGCCAGCTTTCCATAGCTTTCCTTTGTTGATTGAGTCTTGTGTTCGCGTTCTGATTGCCCTTTTCGAGAGCGTCCCCTTGTTGCTTTGAGTTTTGTTTCTTCTGATTTGCTGTGCCTGTACCCGTCTCCAAGTTATGATGTTCTTCACCTTCTTTGGGTCGCCCTTGGTTCTGCCCTCTCAATTCTTACTCACGTTTATGCTTCCCTAGGGCAGGTTTATACGCTGGTGCGAACCCAGGCCCCATTTCACCCATCGCAAGAGACGACATGTTGATTACACCAAGGCCAATTTGCAAAAGGTAGGTCATGGTAGGTCAACCCAAACAACAAAATTATAACACATCAGTAACACATCCACAAAAAAACATCCATGACCTGAACAAAAAGCTCACAGAACACTGCCCCTGTTGGGCCGGACCGGACTCTCTCCTAGCATCTCTTTGACGCTGTGTTGTCCCGCAAAGTTTTGAACAATTCGTAAACCCGCAACTTGAACCACTTCAGCTATCTCAATTCTACTTCGTGTTAAGCTCTTGCTGGCTTCTTACGACAACTCTTTTCAAGTTTACCGCTGTTGCTTTCAGTGTCCCTTTTGTGAAGGACAAATGAAAGAAGTCTGAACCTGCAAAAATGCATGAAAGAATACACAAATACATCAAAATACCAAAGTTGATGAGCGCAACAAGACCCGCACGGGCCTCAAAGAGCTTTGGCTAAACCGGCAACTGCACCCAAAGAACCCAAGGCATCACCCGCGGCTCCCCCTGCAGGTGCCGACCTGAAAAGTCAGGTGCGGTCAAAGCTCCCGAAATTCCTAGCGTTGCTGTAGAATTCCTATGGCACTAACGCATGGCAGAGCTCATGCATTTTACACCTCCAAAGCGGCCGGAAATCTTCACTTGCATCATTATCATCATTGTCTTGTCAATCAACAAACAAGACTTGAGCAAAGGTCAAATGGCCATTTGCCATCATTTGCCATTGGATTCAGATCAGGAATTAGCAACACATCCAAGCATGGTGCATCCGCAAGATCTGAAAGCAACACATCACATGGGCCAACGAGGCATGTGAGATCATCTATTCAGACCTGAAGGGCAACGAAAAAAGTTGGAACCAAAAGCTGCCATGGCAGTGCTGTGCCAAAGAACGCAGCTTCCATGCGTGGCACACCTGGGATGACCTGGGATGTTCACTTGGGATCCTGGCTCGGTAACCCGGTCCCATGGAACTTCTCTGATTTCTACCGTATTCAACATATTCAACAGCTACGCGTATCTTCTAGTTATTTCTAGTTCCCCATCGTTCCACCTGGTTCCAGTTGGACACGTGGACATGCTTGAAGGTTGGAGCGTCAAATGGAAATCATTTGTCGGTGGCATTGCTTTGCACTGAAGACCTCGTTCCAAAACACACACGGAGCTGATGGTCGAAGCTCGTTCAGCAGCATGAAGACACCATTCTGGTGGATTTGTGGGGAGGCCTCCATGTCTGCTCGCTTCAGCTCTACCATCTGTTCAAAGACTTTGGGTTTGCTTTGTATTCCTGCAGAAATACATCTAGGCCTTGGGAATTCAAGCAGAAGTATGATGGAGTATTAGGGTTGTGTGAAAGTTCAGCTTGGCTTCTCCTGCAAATCTTGGCAAATCTATGCAAAATCTAGCATTTGAAATCAACAGCCTCTGCACAAGAAAAGAATTCTGAAACAAACCGGAGAAACTCATACCGCGTCCCTCAGAAAGATCAGAAAGTCAGTCTGTAAGGCTCCAGAATCGATGCGGCTCGTGAAGGTGGCTGGATCAACTGGAAGAGGCTTCGCTGTCTCATGGCGAAGAGGCGCGGAGTGCCACAGTTAGAGGCTGTACAGCTGCCAAGTGGCACGGTGTCTGTTGTGGGTTCTGGGAGCGATGCTTTCGACACGACTGATAGACAAAAATCATCGAAAATCAACTTTCATCAAGTTAACATGTGTGTGACATTGTGTGACTCGTTCGTGACATCTTGACCGTCGAACCATGTGGCCTGCCAGGCATTGCCAAACGTGAAAGGATGCTGTTCCCAAAAGTCCAAAACAAATTCTTTGTTTTTTTGGGAACACCTGACTCCTTTTGTTTTTTTTAGAAAGCTGACGAGGCACTTCTCGTCACTTTCCACTGGCAATGGTGGTGAGCCAAAGAAATCATGCACCTCAAAGGAGACGCAGGAGTCTGTTGCCCTTTGTGGGTGAAATCGACCAATCCAGTTTCAATATGTTTCAATAGAGAAGGACGTAGCATCTCACTGTATCTCAATAACTTAACTTGAAGGCAGTTGGTCAGCAAAATGCTGCAAGCATGCACTACCCTGATATTGCTGTACCATGCTGTACCTGAATCTACGTGTACCTAATGTACTATATACAAGTGAGATTTGCTCTTGTTTCAATGTTGGAAGGTTCGCAGAAGACAGACAAGACGTGTTGCAGGAATCAGAATCATGATGAAACAACATAATTTTATATAATTCTCAACATGACGAATCATGTTGCCTTGAAAATTCAACATGTTCTCAACGTGTTCGACTGGCTGGACCAAATCTAGGGGCACCTCTCGTCCAGATGGACCACCTGGCTGAGAATAAGGATCGGCCAAAGAGAGGATGGAATTTGGCCCAGCAGCCACACGCTCCTTCCTTAGGAAACAGCAGAAACCCAGGGCAATGCGACAAGATAAAAACATATAAAAACATGAACATTTCGTCATAGCCATAGCAATTCTATGCAATTCTGCATCTGTTCGTCCCAGCATCCACGGGGTTTGGTACAGGAAATCCAGAAACTGCGGCGCCATGTCGGAGGGTCGGCCTCCGAATCCTTTGGGCGCTGGTGGTCGACGCAAAGCCTCTGGTGGGAAGCCTGCCGGTATCCCACAGTATCCCACAGTGTTCAAAGGATCTCAAAAAAAATCATGTCGGATATGTCGTTTGTTTCATTGAGACACAGTCGGACCAAGGTAGCACAACCCTGATGTTTCTACACCTGTCGTATCCGAAATGTGGGTTCAATGGGGCCTGGCAGGTTCAAATACTCTGCGGCTTTCCCGACTGTCTCGTTTGCTGCTGCACTGGCCTTCCCAGAACGCCCTAGAAATCCAACAATTTTCAGACAGCTGTGTCAAGACCTGTACATCCCAACATGCGCTGACTTGAAATAAGTAGAAATATGTGAAATCTTGTCCTGGATCGCACAATGAATCATGTTGACACATATTGTCATTGACAAATCTGTACCTATATAATCCTATATAGATACACACATATTGCACATACTATACACATATTACATTATATTACATTATATTACACAAATTTACACAATATGATCTCATTCAAAGAGTTCGAAGGAACCGCGCTGAACACCACGACTCCGCCGCCTTTCCGATGGAATCCTCCAGCTGCGCCGCCTCCAAGACCTGGCGAGGCGGAAACAAATCGAAAAAATTCGAAATCACCAAAGCGGTTCACAAAGCTTTGAACACATTTTTAATATCTATATTCTAATCTATTCTAATATTATCTAATCATTTTTACAGCATTTTATTCAGTTACAGTTACAATGTGTTTCTACATATATTCACCCCGCTTCGCGTGGGGTGGCCGCCCACACCGCAGGTTTATTTCGGTCCGTGAGAGGGGCTAAGGGTGGTTTTCCCTCGTGGGGGCTCCCCAAGCTAAGAATTTTCACTTTCCCCCCCCGTGGGGGCTCCCCAAGCTAGGGAATTTTCACTTTTCCCCCCCGTGGGGGCTCCCCAAGCTAGGGAATTTTCACTTTTCCCCCCCGTGGAGGCTCCCCAAGCTAGGGAATTTTCACTTTTCCCCCCGTGGGGGCTCCCCAAGCTAGGGAATTTTCACTTTTCCCCCCCGTGGGGGCTCCCCAAGCTAGGGAATTTTCACTTTTCCCCCCCGTGGGGGCTTCCCAAGCTAGGGAATTTTCACTTTTCCCCGCCGTGACAGCTTCCCAAGCTATGGAATTTTCACTTTTCCATCCCTTGGAGGCTCTCCAAGCTGCGGAATTTCAAATAGCTAGACAACGACGCCTAGATAGTCCCCCAAATCCCGTGTTCTTTGAATGTGTTTCCATGTTTTTGCAATGGTTTCCTTCAAAGCACGGTACTTTACATTTTTGTCGCCATAAAACCGGTCGAAAACATCATGTTCGACAATGCTTCCAATTCCCTTATCTCCCCAAGCGTTGAAAATACCGCTATTTACAGTGTTTTCTTCAATTTTTCCATGTGCCAATGCCGGTAGCCAACTCCAACATATATATAAGAAATCCTTCCAAAACATTTTTTTTGACAGTGTTTTTCCAATGTTTCCAGTCAAACAGACGGTAATTTACACGCTTTTTGCAATAAAGGCAGTAAATCCTTCCAAAACATTGCTTTTGACAGTGTTTTTGTAATGTTTCCAGTCAAGCATACGGTAATTTACACGTTTTTTGCTATAACGTCAGTCCAAAACACTTGTTTTTGCAATGTTTTCAATGCTCTGGCATCCAAAAACCCTGCAAAATCTTGCTATGTACAATGTTTTTGTCATTTTTGGCCGTTTTTCCATTGCCGGAAAGCTACCAAAATGACCCAAAATTCCATTTCAATACCCTCTTGCGCTCAGACACCCAAAAATCCTCGAAAAATGTCGAAAACCCCCCCGTATTCTGGTCTCGGTGCGAAACCGTTTTTGGCCCCCCCCCCCAGCTAAAGCTGATATAGCGACTGCTATATTAACAAATGTCATTGAGCATTTAGTGTTGCTGTTGCCCCCCGATAAGCACGCCTTCACCGCCAAGGCGGTGTGGGCGGATTTTTTTAAAATAAAACATACTGCAACTGATGATTCACCGAAACCCATGTACGTCATGATGTCTCATCATTTCTCAATGCAGGAGATCATCATCTGTGCGCGGGGCAAAAACATCGGACTTGGGTAAATCTGGGTAAACAAAGGTAAAGATACCAAACGGGAACAAAATGATGATTCGCACTATAGTTTTCTCCTGACTGGATTCAAACAGAGGTCACTTTACTACGTGAATGGCTGCTAATCTGAGGTGCCTAGACACTGAAACAATGTATAGGACACATCGAAATATACCCACCTCCCAAACAATCCTTCTTGCTGCGCAACAGCAATGGTCTGCTTCCTCCATACATTAGTGAATACCTCTTCTGAGATTCAAGGACCGATGATATAAAACTACGTATATGAAACAACATTGTAAAACAATAGTTATAAAATGTTGCGAAGCAGCAACATCTGAAAATACCCTGGGTCTTGAGCTCCCCGACTGCTCGTCGCGCGAAGTCCAAGGTCATCCGCAGCTGTTGTTGCATTTCGTAGGCAGCCAAATCCACCTTTGGGGCAATTCTCATGGGGCCCAAACGGGCCCAAACCTGTACTGTACTAAGCCCATACTAAGAGCAATGATGTTGAAATGTGTTGAATGTTGGACCATGTTGAACCAATGGCATGGGCGAGCCAATCGGCACTGACTATCCCATTGATCCCTTCAGTTGCCTTCGGGGGGGATCCGGGTCCTTTGAGAAGAGCAGCGACTCCTGGGGGATCAAACACATAGCACAGTCCAAACTTCCATCACTGATGTTAATTTACCAGCCAAATGAACATTGCAGAGGAAGAAGCATAGTGATTCCTGTGACATACCCGGTGGATTGCCTGGCTGGACTGAAAGCACTTGAAAGAAATTGAAACAGGCTCAGCCGTAACTGGAGCCATCGTCCCTTCTGCAAAGAATCTGCTGATTTTCTGCAGCGTCACTCCTCCTTTCTTCTTCCCCTTCTTTTTGCTCATCAAACCCTGCAGCTTGAAGGAATCTAACCACGTGGGCGAAATTAGCTGTTTTGGATTGTTTTGGTCGGGTCTCTAATGATTCGCGCATCACCAGTCATGAGTGGAAGGCAAGGAACACCCATAGTGTTCTGAATTTTAAGATTGAGCTGCCCTGGACTGGATGAATGCAACCAAATGTTGGTCAATCCTAGTGGCTTCACCAACTTACATTGAGCACGCTTTCTGTCACGATTTGCTTGACGAGAACATGATAGAACATGATAAAACATGTCTCTAGAACATGTCGACGGACAGCGTATGGTATACTCTGGCTGACCCTTCTACTTGGCTGGAGTATGACATAGTATGACAGAACACTCAAAGATCAGTGGAAACCTCTTAATTACATTCCCTTCTGAGAGGCACTTCCAAACATCTACAAACCATTCTTGTGGATGATTCTGCTTCTGGTTGCTGTTTTTTTTGTGGAAGGGAGATTCGCAGATTCATGTCGTTTCAACATGATTTGACCCTGTAAATCCAGCTCCTGCGTATTTGTTGCTGTCAAATTCACACGTTCAAACTTTAAAATGTCAGGCCTTGGCCAAGGCCATCCCGGAGCCCATCATGTCACCCATGACGTCGTCAGGGGCGTCTCTCAGAAACCCCTCCCCGGTGTCGATCTGCCACTTCAATGGCTCTTTTGCACCTCGGTTCTTCCGGGCTCAGAAGAATCTCAGAAGATCTCAGAAGACGCAAGATGTGGATGGGCTCTGCAATCAACTTTGAGGTGACAAAGAGTGTGTGGATGAATTCAGAATAATTAAGGCATATTAGAAGACAAATAAGAACAGTGCTGCTCCTCATTCCTCTAAACAGTGAAACTCACATCAGGTAACTGAGCTGCAAGCCACCAAGGCTACCAACTTTGGACCTGAGCCACTGGTCTTAGACAGTGTAACTCCCCTAAGAAATCCGCCGACCCCGGCCTTCGCCAAGGCAGGGGCGGCGCCTGGGACCACCGGAGGTGTGGAACCTGCTTTGTCACGGCCATGGCCTTCACATTGTCCAAGGCTTCCACCCAGGCCTGTGGCCGTTTGGCCTTGACATTGTCCAAGGCTTCCACCCAGGCCTGTGGCCGTAAGCCTCGCCTGCATAGCTCCCTTCAAATGCTTAAACTGCTCCGCCGGCCTTTGCACCAAGCCCTGTGGCCGCGAGCCCCTGCTGTTCCAGCGTTGCAGCCTGCCGTTTGCCTGCACATAGACTCTGTTCTTAGGGCGTTCAAGCCTGCCGTTTGCCAGGCTTCAAACCCTTAAAATGCTTAAAATGCTCCGCCGGCCGGTTGCACCAAGCCCTGTGGCCCCTGCCGTTTGCGTGCACATAGCCTCTGTTGTTAGGGCGTTCAAGCCTGCCGTTTGCCAGCCTTCAAGCCCTTACAATGCTTAAAATGTTCCGCCGGCCGGTTGCGCCAAGCCCTGTGGCCGCCTCTGTTGTTACGGCGTTCAAGCCTGCCGTTTGCCAGGCTTCAAACCCTTAAAATGCTTAAAATGCTCCGCCGGCCGGTTGCACCAAGCCCTGTGGCCGTGAGCCCTTGCTGTTCCAGCGTGGCAGCCTGCCGTTTGCCTGCACATAGCCTCTGTTGTTAGGGCGTTCAAGCCTGCCGTTTGCCAGCCTTCAAACCCTTCAAATGCTTAAAATGCTCCGCCGGCCGGTTGCACCAGCCCTGTGGCCGTGAGCCCCTGCTGTTCCAGCATTGCAGCCTCTCGTTTGCCTGCACATAGCCTCTGTTGTTAGGGCGTTCAAGCCTGCCGTTTGCCAGGCTTCAAACCCTTAAAATGCTTAAAATGCTCCCCCGGCCGGTTGCACCAAGCCCTGTGGCCGTGAGCCCCTGCTGTTCCAGCGTCGCAGCCTGCAGTTTGCCTGCACATAGCCTCTGTTGTTCCAGCGTTGCAGCCTGCCGTTTGCCTGCACATAGCCTTTGTCCGCCGGCCGGTTGCACCAAGCCCTGTGGCCGTGAGCCCTTGCTGTTCCAGCGTGGCAGCCTGCCGTTTGCCTGCGAATAGCCCTCTGTTGTTAGGGCGTTCAAGCCTGCCGTTTGCCAGCCTTCAAACCCTTCAAATGCTTAAAATGCTCCGCTGGCCGGTTGCACCAGCCCTGTGGCCGTGAGCCCCTGCTGTTCCAGCATTGCAGCCTCTCGTTTGCCTGCACATAGCCTCTGTTGTTAGGGCGTTCAAGCCTGCCGTTTGCCAGGCTTCAAACCCTTAAAATGCTTAAAATGCTCCGCCGGCCGGTTGCACCAAGCCCTGTGGCCGTGAGCCCCTGCTGTTCCAGCGTCGCAGCCTGCAGTTTGCCTGCACATAGCCTCTGTTGTTCCAGCGTTGCAGCCTGCCGTTTGCCTGCACATAGCCTTTGTTGTTAGGGCATTCAAGCCTGCCGTTTGCCAGCTTCAAACTTTAAAACGCTTAAAATGCTCCGCCGGCCGGTTGCACCAAGCCCTGTGGCCGTCAGCCCCTGCTGTTCCAGCGTTGCAGCCGGCCGTTTGCCTGCACATAGCCTCTGTTGTTAGGGCGTTCAAGCCTGCCGTTTGCCAGCCTTCAAACCCTTCAAATGCTTAAAATGCTCCGCCGGCCGGTTGCACCAGCCCTGTGGCCGTGAGCCCCTGCTGTTCCAGCATTGCAGCCTGCCGTTTGCCTGCGAATAGCCCTCTGTTGTTAGGGCGTTCAAGCCTGCCGTTTGCCAGGCTTCAAACCCTTAAAATGCTTAAAATGCTCCGCCGGCCGGTTGCACCAAGCCCTGTGGCCGTGAGCCCTTGCTGTTCCAGCGTGGCAGCCTGCCGTTTGCCTGCACATAGCCTCTGTTGTTAGGGCGTTCAAGCCTGCCGTTTGCCAGGCTTCAAACCCTTAAAATGCTTAAAATGCTCCGCCGGCCGGTTGCACCAGCCCTGTGGCCGTGAGCCCCTGCTGTTCCAGCGTCGCAGCCTGCAGTTTGCCTGCACATAGCCTCTGTTGTTAGGGCGTTCAAGCCTGCCGTTTGCCAGGCTTCAAACCCTTAAAATGCTTAAAATGCTCCGCCGGCCGGTTGCACCAAGCCCTGTGGCCGTGAGCCCCTGCTGTTCCAGCGTCGCAGCCTGCAGTTTGCCTGCACATAGCCTCTGTTGTTCCAGCGTTGCAGCCTGCCGTTTGCCTGCACATAGCCTTTGTCCGCCGGCCGGTTGCACCAAGCCCTGTGGCCGTGAGCCCTTGCTGTTCCAGCGTGGCAGCCTGCCGTTTGCCTGCGAATAGCCCTCTGTTGTTAGGGCGTTCAAGCCTGCCGTTTGCCAGCCTTCAAACCCTTCAAATGCTTAAAATGCTCCGCTGGCCGGTTGCACCAGCCCTGTGGCCGTGAGCCCCTGCTGTTCCAGCATTGCAGCCTCTCGTTTGCCTGCACATAGCCTCTGTTGTTAGGGCGTTCAAGCCTGCCGTTTGCCAGGCTTCAAACCCTTAAAATGCTTAAAATGCTCCGCCGGCCGGTTGCACCAAGCCCTGTGGCCGTGAGCCCCTGCTGTTCCAGCGTCGCAGCCTGCAGTTTGCCTGCACATAGCCTCTGTTGTTCCAGCGTTGCAGCCTGCCGTTTGCCTGCACATAGCCTTTGTTGTTAGGGCATTCAAGCCTGCCGTTTGCCAGCTTCAAACTTTAAAACGCTTAAAATGCTCCGCCGGCCGGTTGCACCAAGCCCTGTGGCCGTAAGCCCTTGCTGTTCCAGCGTTGCAGCCTGCCGTTTGCCTGCGAATAGCCCTCTGTTGTTAGGGCGTTCAAGCCTGCCGTTTGCCAGCCTTCAAACCCTTAAAACCCTTAAAATGCTCCGTTGCCAGCCTTCAAACCCTTAAAACCCTTCAAACCCTTAAAACCTCTAAAATGCTCCGAATCCCTCGCGGCAGCTTCCACCAAGCCCTCCTGTAAGCCTTTGCTGTTCCAGCGTTGCAGCCTGCAGTTTGCCTGCGTTTGCCTGCATAGCCCTCTGTTGTTATGGCGTTCAAGCCTGCCGTTTGCCAGCCTTCAAACCGTTATTCAAACCCTTAAAACCCCTAAAACCCTCCAACTCCCTCGCGGCAGCTTCCACCAAGCCCTCTCTCTATCTCTCCCTCCCTCTCTCTCCCTCTCTCTACAGCACCCCCCAAATAGGGGGGGTCGGCGGCACCAGGGCGCTAGCCCATTCTATATGTTTGATCTCCTTAAAAATTGGATCCATATTTTAAAGGACATATTGGTGTCATTTTCCTTGGATTCAGAAAGGAACTGCACATATCTGCACGACATATGCAAATTCTAATGTCGTCCAGCAATTCGCAGCAATTCGCAGCAAGCTGTGTATGCCAACAACTTCAGCCGCATAGATTCCCCCGTCCTCTGTGTCTTCTTGATACTGTACTTTCCACACAAGACACAAAATCAAACTTGGCACCCCATGCAATTTTTCCGCATGTTTAATGTTTACATATGTTTACTTATAGGATTACTTCAGTGTTTGCAAACAAGTTGAAGCATGTTGGTTTGGTCTTGGAATTCGTTCGTCAACGATGTGATTCGTCTGCAAATTGTGTGATGTGAAGCGCATCGTCTCGTTCATTGCTTGAACATGTTTGAAACCCTTTCCTAGCGCCTTTCACATCTTTCACATCTTTCACGATCCGAGGTTTCGGCAGCAAATTTCCGGCGGGATTGCCATTGTCAAAGCCAGGGTCCGTCACATTCTGAAGCGTCACCGGTTGTGACCACAAGCATCGCATCCGTTGCCAGCAAAACAAGATAAAACAAGCAAGAAACCCGAGCGATGCAGTGGAAGAAGGTTCGCATCAGCAATCATGTTCCTTTGTTCATCGCTTTGCCAATGTGCCAATACGTTATTATGATATACCATTATGTGATATCAACATGCAGAGTCAAACAGCTCTGAATTCTCATTATTTGTCCTTATTGCGCTATGATCACATCCAGAATGTTGCAAAAGTTTTGACATCTCACACGCATCTCTCATCACCTCTCATCACCCAATAAAACCAGCAATGCCATGCAACGTCCATTCAGGGTTTCCCACTCTTTCTCACCATTCCTTCGGATTTCCCGCCTGCATGTAGGTTACAACTCCCTGGGCTTCAGCTGCGCGCACAGCCGCTACGCTGGTGATCTTTCGCATCTTCCTCGCGCCCGTGCGATGCTGACGAAAGGGGTGAAAAAGCTCTCGGCAGGGGCCACTGCGTAGGAGAATCGCATAGAATCGCCGTGTCGCGTAGCGGCGTAGTGTGGCATGTTTGGAGCAAAATGGAGCAAATAGGGGTCAATCCAAGCATGAGCTCAAAAATTATTAGCATGCTTTGGGTTGTGAGAAAACAGGTGGTAATAGAACAACAGGATAGCAATGCTTCAAAACCCAACATCTCACACTTTTTCCCATGATTCCAGGATGAAGTAAAATACAGTGGTCACTGAACCGCTTCACTGGTATCAAAAGACTCGGCGACCCCCTTCACAAGTGATGCCGCGCACGCTGTCTTATATCGAAAGCTCTCGATGAGAAAGGAACTAAGACAAAATCGGAAAAAAATGAACCGGTTCCCATCTATTCCCAAAGTAGTAATCAACAACAGCACCACCCCATACAATTCTCTGCTCCACCAGACCACATCCACACCTTTCTTCTCCCAACAGTGCAAGGGGTATAATAAGATACAATAAGCATTGTAAACTGCCATCCTTTGGGCAGTACCACAGCACAAGCAGGACCCAATTCCCTGCTCTACCGTGACTCGATGCTCAAGCCATTGCAAGATAACCTGAGGCAAGGATTCTCCAGATTTGAACTCCAAAGATCTTCAAAGCGGTTCAGTATAGTAGTACAAGTATATCCCTTGCAACAGCCTCCAAAATAGGAAGACAAGAATGGATAGCGACAAGGCATGGCAAACAAGGCACCATTTGAGAAGGATCTGGATTTCTGGAGACAGCTCCGTAGTAGGAGCGCCGTCAAGACAACGTTAACGGCCAAAGAGGTGATCAGAGCTGCCAACCGAGGAATTTCGGTGTCGCTAACATCTGCGAAGTCAACGTGGTCAAAGGGGTCAAGGGCTGCACGGTTTTGGACATTTTGAAGGTTTGATCTCAAGGACATAGAAATAGCTTCGCTAGGAGGCTCCAGCAACGCTCCTTTGGCCTTGGTGGAGCTTTGGACTAGATGCAAACAGGCTGAAACATCTGAAACATTCTGAAACGACATTAGTTAAAACATGTTGACACAATTCTCTACATTCTCCACTTGTGAACACATACATAAGTCATACATATCCAAACAGATGACAATAGATGCACAGCAGCTATGATTGCGGTAGCATGCAAATCCATACAGACATACGGATGCGCTATGATGCGCTTATGTACACATCCGTTCTATCATGTTCTATCCATGCCTTAATTTTCTTCAGCACAAATCTTCAACACGCCATTGTGTATTGGTAGAGCTCGGACCATTCCACCAAAGGCCTGTACCTTGCTCATAATGATTCCTGAAATAGCACTGCATGGACTACAAATTATGAGACGGAGGTGAATGCAAGGTAGGTTGGGGCAGGAGAAGGGAAGGAAAGTGGTACAGAGAGTGTGTGAGTGGGTGATTAAATTTGATTAAATCGTACGAAGGGGAATCAGAAAAACAACAAAATACAACAAAATTAGAACGTTGCTTTTTTGGAGATGATCGTCCGCATATGTCTGCATCGTTTGCCTTCGTTGCCAACATGATCAAACATGCAAAGAAGGCAACGCTGGCAGCCAGGGAGAGGCTGAATGGATAGCAGGACACGGTCCCTTCTGGGATGCACCAACAAATGAATAGCCGCCAAAGATGAGAATTCTCCAAATACAAATTGCACATATTGCAAACAAAACAAAACAATTTTAAACAATATACAAACAACAAAACAATTGTCCAATTCAAAAAAAATGTCCCAGGCCATTGCTACAAACAAGTCAGCTGACGTTGCCTTTTCGGCCATGGATCAATTTCGTGACATACAAAGCATTCACATTGCATTCACAAAGCTTTGATCTGCTTTGTGTATGCTCCAAGTCACAGAGCATTCTTCATTCTCAGAGGCATCGAGGTATCTCATGTCACAAATGTAGTCGAAGTAGTCGTTCGAACCCACCGTCTGAGAGAACATGTGCGCCAAATATGCCCGAAGTAACTTGGGATTCTTCCTGGGTGGACTGGTGCATCTGCTGCTATCTGTACGCACAGAGATGCACAAAGGGAGCTTGAAGAAAAGCCACGCGTGGTTTGTAACACTTTGCTGAGGAAAATGGATCTCTTTCTGACTCTTTCCCATGATGGCTAGTGCGTTGCTTGGGAAAAAACAAAAGACTCTGTTAAAGTGGATTCATATCGAGTTTCTGCAGTTGGAGCCACAGTGCTTCAAGTTCATCAGGATCGAGACCTACTCCATACTGCTCACGGAAAGAGTACTGCTTTTGCCAAAACTTCCAAGAGACTTGTTCATCTTTGCCCTCTGCATGCAACTTCTCCCATTTCCTAAAGGCAAACAAAATGTCCGGCTTTGAAGGTTTGTGGCTTGTAAAATTGTAAAAGATGAAGTCCTTGGGGTGTTACACGGCTATGTATGCAATTTTTCCAAATTCAATGCGCAAATCAAACCATGTCCAGTATTGCTATGTATTGCTTGAGTTGAAAACAAGTCAGCACATCAAGTACAGAAAAACGAAGGAGGCTGTTCTTCAGATTCTTTCCACTGCATGACGGGCTTCTTATCCATCTTCAGCGCGATATCGGTATCCTCACACGGCATCATAGAAAACAGAAAGACAGCAATCATGCGATTGAGCATCGCTCAGAATACCAGTCTGCGTAATGGTAAAATATGGCAAACAGTAATGGCATAGACTCATAGGGTTCAAGAACTTCCAGGGCACTTATTTGCCTCACCCAATCCAAGAGTCTCATCTTAAACTCTCTGTCCAAGGAGCTGCTAAACGTAGGAAATACTGTGTGAAGTCCACAAGCTCATGATCATCTGAAACCTGACAATCTGCTGACAATGCTGGTTGTCCAATGTTGTCCATCTGGGCTTGCAAAGGAGCACATCCAAACTAAACGAAAGGTCACTCCGGTCACTCCTAGGATCCTGATTAGCAGACTCCACCTTGGAAAGGTAAGGAACAACATGGAACAACCATGAACAATCTGTACCTTAGATCAAACATGGACCCGATCCAAGTGACTACCATCCTTGTAGCACCTTTATCTTTTATCCATCTGAAGACTTTACAAACAGTTTTTTCATCTTTTTCAATCTCATGCAAGACAATGTAATGTTGCGATGCATTGTGGGCAAGCCCTATGTTTCTCTCAAACGTATTGTCGTTTGACTTTCAGTCGGAACCATCCATGGGATTGAAGCCCTCGAAAAATTGGATCAAATCTGTCTCTGCATGTCTCTGCTTACCCACTCCTCTATACTCCTCTTGCCTCAAAGAGCCTCCAGGATGGATTGCAATGCTTCCGCGGGGTTACCCCAGCGCTCACCAAGACAGCAGACACAGCTTCAGCACTTCCATCCTCGTTTTTATCCCAAATCATGCGGAACTCGTCATTGGAATGGTCTCCATAAAGTTGCACTTCGATAATGTCGGCAAAATCACGAGTCAAATCCTTAGTGTGACAGGGCTGCAGGATTCTGAGGGGCTATCAGGAGGCCTGAAAGCAAAAGGTTCAGCATGGCTCAGCCACGAAACAGAAATAGACAGAATTAGCAAAACTCCAAGACAATCCAAGATTCCTCCAAATCTTTCAAGTGTTGAAGACAGAAGTTGTTGCTACCCACCTTATCCCCTGGAGGCACATGTCCAGCAATGATGACCTTTTCCTTGGCATCGCGAGCAGCTTCCAACTCCTTCCTGGCCCAAACCAATTGATCGTAAGGATCTCTTGGTCGATCATCACAACCTCGGATGGGCATGATATTGCTGGACATTCATGGAAATTGCCCTGAAGCCTTTGACCTGGAAACAACTTATGTAGGGTAATTTGCGTTGGTGAACCGACTGATAATGTACCGCACTACGCAAATGAATCGCCGAACCTAGGGTCAGAAGCGAGCCCATGTGAAACCGCACGTATTCCAACCAAATTCTGTGAAAGAACCTATCATTTTCTCGGCGTCAACTTGTTTTCCAGGAATCGGAGGGAATTTTGAACATGATCCTTGACGTGCCACTTGTCACAGCTTGTTTGTTGTTGGACATGTTCTCCCTTGCATTCCCAGCCACTGATGAATGCCTTCTTCTCCACTGCATCTTCATCCCAAGTCCATCCGCTGGTATCAGCTCCGGGAAGGGGAGCATCAGGGCCCTTGTAGAGACTTTCATCTGCGATGGTCTTATGATGAGTCACATGACGCTTTGTTGCACCGCTCCAATCCAAAACCTTTTGACTCCAAACCACGGTGTTCAGCACAAGCAATTTCCTGAGTGAAAGCACAGCATGGCCTTTGTATCTCTTCGTTGTCTGCACTCATCTGCACTCTAAGTATCTTTCCTGAAGTGAAAATATGGCCCAAAACATGCAAAAACTACCCGCCGGACCGGAAACCGTGCCCATAAAACGCGCGTTTTTTTAAAAAAATGGCGATTTTACCACAGTGCCGTGTTGGTTTGATGATTGGAAATTTTGGAAAAACTTGGGGCGCGTTTTTTGACTTTTCAGCGTCATCGCTGCAACGCATGCACCGTTATCAGCTGGCAGTCAGCATTCTTGTGAATGCATCTCCATTGCCAAGCTCTAGCATACACCATCAAGAGGTCACTTTTGGCACTCAAGTTGCTGGGAATTGCATTTTTCATCAGATTCCACATAGAACATTTAACGTAGTAAACGATCCCAGAGATCTCAGCAGCGTAGCAGCATGTAACGTAGTAAACGATCCCAGAGATCTCAGCAGCATAGCAGCATGTAACGTAGTAAACAATCCCAGAGATCTCAACAGCATGGCAATATATCATGTACGAAGTACAAGGAACGTTAACATGACCCCCCCACCTCACCCCACCCCACCCCACCCCATCAGCACATGTAACGTAGTAAACGATCCCAAAGATCTCAGCAGCATGGTAATATATCATGCACGAAGTACAAGGAACGTCAACATGCCTCCCCACCCCACCCCACCCCACCCAACCCCATCAGCAGCGTAGCAACATGTAACGTAGTAAACGATCCCAGAGATCTCAGCAGCATGGCAATATATCATGTACGAAGTACAAGGAACGTTAACATGCCCCCCCACCCCACCCCACTCCACCCCACAATCGCGATATTCAAAAACGTGCGTTTTACGGGAACGGTTTTCGGTCCGCAGGCAAAAACTAGCACATTTCTGAGTGGGCAAGCCATCCCCTGTCCAAAATTAAAACCCATTGACATTTGCACTCCTGCCGATCTTGCACTCAATTTTCAATGAACGTTTCTGGATACATAGCACAATGGGTTGAGGCCTGTCATTTGTTGATCTGGCGCCCAGATCGCCAAGCGTCAATCCGGGTCGTGGTGAAGTGACGTAAAATCCGCCCTTCGCAAAAGTCTCAAGCTCTGGTCCTTGAAGCACCCCTTCGCGAGCATAAAGAGACGCCACATACTGCTGCCAATCGTTGTTTGGTTCGAAAGAGATGTTGTAGTTGGGAAAATAATCCTCGAGTGGGGGGTTCGGTGGTACATGCAACAAAAAGCACTGTTAACCCGTGAAAGTATCCCAAGCAATCCCAGGAGTACAAACATTTGAGAGGTCATCCTGAATGCTGTTCCCCAAAAAGTTATCCCATTTCGTCCGACCCCCGTTTCGGAACCCTAGGCTGGAAGCTGCAAACACCTTGGCTATAGCAGCTCCTTGGGTGGTTTTTGAAGCTCAAGTCAAAGATATTCAAGCCATCTT